GAAACCTCGCTTGCCTTGTCTTCCTCCTCCTCCTCCACCTCCACCTCCACGTCCTCCCTGTCCCCGTCTCGTCGTGTCTGGAACCTTTGGAATCTACGAGCTCATGGCCCGCCCCCTCCCACAGGAGAGCGGGCAGCTCAGAACGCCCCCTGTCCCCTTCAGCCGCCATCTCGTTGAAGTCGACGTCCCCCTCCTCCTGCCGCTGCTCTTCATCGTTCCTCCTACTTTTTCTCTGAAGCGTGATCCCACCAGCCCTCTGGGCGTAGGCGGTCTAGGGAGGCTCCTCTTCCAACCCCCTTCTTCCCTTTCGGGGATGGGTTTGCCCCTCCCCCGTCCCCCCTCCCCCTGGATGGGGGTGGTAGCGGGTAGTTGGAGCGTCCAAGATGACCCAAGACGGCTCCAAGAGGGCCCCTGAGAGACCAAGATGAGCTCCATGATGGCTCAATATAGCGCACGATGCTTCAAGATGACTCCCAATATGCTCCAAGAGGTCCGAAGAACGTTCCAAGGCGGCTCCAAGAGGCCTCCGAGACCTCCAAGGAGGCCCCCAAGAAGCCAAACTCATTCAAACATCACTGATTGTTGCTTTCTCGGCTTTTCGCTTCCGATGGCCATCCGATGCCTCAAGATTGCTCCAAGATGGCCCAAGAGAGCTCCAGGAGAGGCCCAGGAAAGCCCCAATACGACCCCCACGAACGCCCCAAGAGCGCTCCAAGAGGGGTCCAGCAGCCGATTTTCGGTGCTCCCAAGGGGGGATGCTAATTGGAGATCCCCTCTTTGTTTGATCGATGTCCTCCAAGATGGCCCTAAGAGCGCCACTGAAGCTCCCAAGAGCACCCCAAGAGGCGCCCATACAGCTCTACGAGTCCTCCAAAAGGCTCCCAAGAGACTCCATACGAGGCCTCAAGAGGATCCCCGATGTACCCAACTTTCCCTCCTTCTCCTCCCTTTCCTCCTTCTTGTCCTCCTTGTCGTCGCCCCACTCCACCTCCTCCTCCTCCTCCTCCTCCTCCTCCTTCTCTTCCTCCTCCTCCTCCTCCTCCTCCTCCTTCTCCTCCTCCTCCCCTCCGACGACGACGACGCTGATTCCTCCTCCATCGTCCACCTCTTGGGGTATATGACGGCTTCTCCAGCCCTTTGTTCTTCTGCATGCTCCCCCACTTCCCTCATCACCTGAACTCCCCTAGGGATTGTTTCTGGATGGGCTGGTGGGTATTCGCGAAACGTCAACAAATCGCGACACCCTGTCCTCCTCTAACTCGTTCTCCGTCCTCGCCTTTCTACCCTTCGTCGTCGTCCTCATCCTCCTGACACTCCTTCTGTTTCTACAGGCTGAGAATGGTATCACCATGCGGTTCGTCCAGGATGTGTTCCACAGGAATATCCTGCGGTCCTCGTCTCTGGAGTCTGCGTGGAAAACAGAACCAGGAAATCCTGAAACATATCGTTATCATTACTTCTTGCCATTCTGAACCTACTCGTCCTCCCTTCTCCTTGCCCCTCTGGACCTACTCCCTCCTCTTCTTCTGGTCTCTACTTCTGGCTGGCGGATTTCTCCAGTCGCCGAGCAGGGCTCTCTGGAAGGCCGAACCAGCGGGGCACATAGTCCTCTATCTATACTGGGCAAGCGCCAAGCGCCACTGGCGACGCCTCCTGTCCAACCGCCCTGAAACAAGAAAGGGTAGCCAATAAGCGGCACAACCATGGGAAATGAACACAGATGGTGTTCCAAGAAGTGCCTTACCCAGGAACCCAACAACAACCAAATGACAGCCAACAAAAAAAAGTGAAAGGAGATGACACAGCCTGGGATGATGGCACTCGGCGGCGAGCCCGGGGGGAAGTGAGGAGGAACGGGCCTTCTCAGGAAGCGGCAGGGCTCCACAGACGCCCTCCGGCCTTCTGAGACGCCTGGCAGACCTTCTCCGGAACCACAGACAGCTTCGGAGAAAGCCAGAGGGCGTCTGAGAAGCCCCGCCGCCTGCTGAGAAGGCTTGTCCCCTCTCACTTCCCCCCGGGGCCCGCTGCCGAAGAACGGTGTGTGGTGCTACGATGCGGTACGGTACGCGGCAAAACGAGACGAGACGGTTTGGGACGGAACAAGGCTGGAGATGACGGGACGGGAATCGGAGTGTAGCGGGTTGGAACAGGTCGCGGCCAGAGAACGCATCGGCCTGGCAAGGTGGAAAGACACAGAGAGAGAGAGAGAGAAAGAGAAAGGGAGAGAGAGAGAGCGAGAGAGAGAGGGACGGAGAGTATTCAAGGCATGAACATGCTTCATTTTACCAGAAGAACAAAACCAACAACAACACCAACAACAACAGCAGCAACACCATCAACAACAACACGAACAACAACAGCAACAACAACAGCAACAACAACAACAACAACACACCAAACCAAACCAAAGCAACGCAAACCATAACAAAACAACACAAACCAAACCAAAACAAAACAAAACAAAACCACACAACAACAACAACAACAACAACAACAACAACAACAACAACAACAACAACAACAACAACAACAGCAGCAACAACAACAACAACACCACCACCAACAACAACAACACCAACGCCAACGCCAACACCAACAACAACAACAACAACAACAACAACAACAACAACAACAACACCAACACCACCAACAACAACACCACCAACAACAACGACAACACCACCAACAACAACAACAACTGAATAAAGAAGGACCCCTTTCGAGGGTCCGCGCGGACTTCTTGGATGTGCGCTGGGCCCCCCCTCCCTGGCGCGCGGAGCTTGCCAGGGGCGGCGCCGACTGCGCCGCCAGAGGGGCCCAATGCAGATCCGAGAAGTCCGCGTGGACCCTCGACCTTGAACTTGAAACCTCGACCTTCGATTTGCGATGCGGCCAGTTGAAGGGGCCCTGGGACACACAAACAAGTGGCACGCGTGCCCTGGCTCTTGCACAAAAGGTGTCCGAGGCTCAGGGGGGGCTGCCCTGGGAAGCCTGGGCGGGGGAGGGGGCAGAGGGGGGGGGGGGGGGGCAGGGTGACGACGAACGACACGACACGAAAATAAAAGTGGCCCAGGGGGCTACCCTGGGAAGCGTGGACAGGGGGGGGGGGGGACGAACGACACGACGAACGACGAAAATAAAGGGTTCCGTGGCCCAGGGGGGCTACCCTGGGAAGCGTGGACAGGGGGGGGCGAGGGGGACGAACGACACGACGAACGACGAAAATAAAGGGTTCCGTGGCCCAGGGGGGCTACCCTGGGAAGCGTGGACAGGGGGGGGGGAGGGGGACGAACGACACGACGAACGACGAAAACAAGTGGCACGCGTGCCCTGGCTCTTGCACAAATGTGTCCGAGGCTCAGGGGGGCTGCCCTGGAAAACCTGGGCGGGGGGGGCAGAGGGGGGGGGCAGGGGGACGAACGACACGAGACGACACGACACGAAAATAAAAGTGGCCCAGAGGGGCTACCCTGGGAAGCGTGGACAGGGGGAGGGCACGAACGACACGACGAACGACGAAAATAAAAGGTTCCGTGGCCCAGGGGGGGCTACCCTGGGAAGCGTGGACAGGGGGGGGGGGGCGAGGGGGACGAACGACACGACGAACGACGAAAATAAAGGGTTCCGTGGCCCAGGGGGGCTACCCTGGGAAGCGTGGACAAGGGGGGGGGGCGAGGAATCGATGGATTCGGACACGCTCCACGCCTCCGAATCGATGGCCAAGAATGGCGTCAAATCTCGCTGCAAGCGCTTGATCGTACTTTCGTTGTCGCTCGGCGTTTCTTCGAGATCCCCGTAGCAAGGTGGGGCCTTCCAGAAGGTCTGCTTCTTTGCGGAGGCGGGGAGGTCTGCTATTTGGCCAGGCGTGAGTTCCACATACATGCGCAGTCCGCAAGTCCTCGAAGAGAACGTCCACATGGAGCAGGACATGGCTCGGTCCATCGTGTGCAAGCAGGCACTCGGCGTCGCATGCATCGACGTCAGTGTCGTGGTGCAGCAGGACAAGGCCAGGGTAGCGCAAGCTCGCCTCGGTGCTGCTCATACCTGCTTTCACGACCCGCCCGCGCCCCATGCTGCGCGACAGCAGCTCGAGGCGAACGTCATCCGAGCAGAGGAGGGCTTCCGTCATCAGCAGGGCAAGGTCCGTAGCCACTTGACACTTGTTCATGTGCTGCAGCGCGGCCAGGATGGACTCGCGGTCCACTCCAGCAACGCTGCAATCGTTCTGGATCGGGTCGTTGTTCAACGGTGCCGCGACTGTCTGCACTGCGATCAGTGGGCCCACCTTCCTCCAGCAGCTCACTTCGACTGCCCCCACAGCGGCGACCATCATCCGAGTTTGCTTTTGAGAGGGCGGGCAACTGATGGCTCTTGCTTGCCAGTTAACGAAGGGAAGGCCGTCCAACGCAATCCCCACGCCGTTGAGCATTGCGAGGAAGTCGACTGCAACTTCGGCGGCGTTCGATGCCATTCCAAATCGCACTTCGATCAGCGAAGTTGCGGCGCAGAGTTACCGGCAGACAAATACTTGAGCCTGCATTGCGATCAGATGCTCCGAGCTAGGTATGCGCGTGGGCTCTGTTAAAGCGGGGCGACGCCCCTGTAGCATGCCAAGCCAACGATGTTTCGCATGGCGCCGTCTCTCTCAACCGCCTCATGGGGCAATTATTTTTCTAATAATAATGCCGCTGCAAAGCTGCAACTCTTTTTCCAGCTTCAGATTTAGCGCCACTCCATCTAAACCTGGTTGCGGTCTTTGCGGCTAGGCCCTTCGCAGGGGGGCATGGCTCTTCGCAGTAGCGGTCTATAGATCGCTGCACGTTTTTTTCGCCGAGGGATGCTGATGGCGGTCACCTGTCTGATCGTGCACCCGTACAGCTTTGCACGCCTATGCGTATCTACATCTTGCACACTCACACGCCACTGTTGGCTGGCACCTGCGCCCGCCTTGGACTGCGGCTCCGCGGGCGACTTGCGCCCGAAGCCCCGTCGGCCGCGACGGGCGTTGGGGCAGTGTCTCGCAGCACCTTGGCGACGGCCCGGGCGAGCGCATACGCAAAATTGCACGGGACCGCGTTCCCGATCTGCGTGTAGGCCGCGCACTTACTGCCTTTGAAAGCATAGTCGTGGGGAAATGTCTGAAGACGAGCAGCCTCCGTGACTGTCAGCCTCCTCATCGACTCTGGCGCGACCCAAGCAACCGCGTATGCATCCAGGAGCGCGGCGCGGCTCGCCCAGACGCCCTCGAGGCGGCGCTTTGTCTGGGGGCCGCTGTCGTAGGAATCGGGCTTTTCGCGCTCGGCGACGAGGCCGTAGATGCGAGCGGCCGCGCTCACACCCAGCTTGCCCTTGATCTTTTTGCGGTGGGCGCGCGGATTCGCCGCGCGCGTCAGGACGCTGTTCAGCTCAGGAGCCAGCTCGCTCACACCCAGCTTGCCCTTGATCTTTTTGAGGTGGGCGCGCGGATTCGCCGCGCACGTCAGGACGCTGGTCAGCTCAGGAGTCAGCTCCTGAGCCACTCGCTTGTTGCGTTCCACGAGCACCGCATGCAAGTTCTCGACCGAGCCCCCCCCCCGCGCCGAAGAACTGCTCCTCATCAATGATCGGCGTGAAGTTCCCCCCCATGGACGCTGGTAGCGTCGGGGAAGGCCTGGTGGGAGCGAGGGGACGGCCGCTCCCATTGAAGAGCAAGCTGCCAGAGTACGCGCTCTCCCGGAGCACTGGGTTCTTGCAAAGTACGATCTTCGCATTGCATGTTGCCGGGTTGGACGGCGTGCCAGCCCTGCCGATGTCCTGGAGGGCCTCTCCGCACGTCTGCCCTTGGCGGCTGAATTCAACCAGCTCGTGGAAATATTGGACGGGCACCGCGGTGCCGCGAAACTCGACAAAAATCAACCTGTTTCTCGATTGGGGGACGTCGAAGTTGTGGGTGTTAAGCATACTGTACTGGCAGGCGTACCCCAAGCTCTGCGCGCGTTCGATTAGTTTGTCCAGAATGGGCTTGAAGAGAGGATTGGTGCCCAAGTTGTCCACGTTCTCCATGAGGAAGCTGCGCGGCCGCAGCTTGTCGACCGCATCCATGAAGACATCGACCAGCTCGTTCCTGGGGTCATCCAGCCGCATCTTCCCCTTGCGAGAGCGAGAGAAGCGTTGGCAGGGCGGGCCGCCGAAAAGGCAATCTACAGGCCCTGGCAGCTCTCGGCGCAGCTCGTCGAAGTCAAATGTCCGCAGATCCGATCGCCTGGATACCGCCACCTCCGCGTTGTGGTTGTAAGTGTCGCAGGCGGCTTTGTCTTTCTCCGCCGCCCACAGCACCTTGAACCCGGCTCTCGTGAACCCGACGTCCATGCCGCCAGCCCCTGAAAAAAGCGACACCGCCGTCAACGGCATTGCTTGCGAGGCTGCGGCGCCAGGAGGCGGCCAGTGTAAAGCTTCGTGCGCAACTGCGTGCGTTCTCGCTGCATGGGCTGGAATCGTCATTGCACGGGGGCGAGGGGAAGGCGAATGGAGAATGGTTAACTGAGCATAAAACTCGCCAGCACATATACAATTGTTGGGCTGCGTTCATACATGTGCTGACAAATGGCATTCTACACAACAAGGCGCGAGCAACCGGACACCAACCGGGCACCAACCGGGCACCAACCGTGCACCAACCGGGCACCAACCGGGCACCAACCGGGCACCAACCGGGCACCAGCCGGGCACCAGCCGGGCACCAACCGTTTGCAGTGCCTTGCTGCATTGCTACCTCTTCTGGGCCACATGGGGCATGCGCACAGCTGCGGTTGTGATTTCGGTCAGTCAAATGTCTGCCTATGCCGCCTATGGAGCGGTTTGTTGTGATTTCGGTCTGTCAAATGTCCGCCTGTGATTTCGGTCTGTCAAATGTCCGCCTATGCCGCCTATGGTTTCCGTCTGTGAGATACCCATGCGTTAGAAATGGCCATTCCTACGTCCGTCTATGTCTCTATGGTTAACCTATGGAAGCTCCCTGTTTGGCAGAGCCCCCAAGACAACATAACTTTCTTCCTTGAGCTCGACACATCATGGATTTTGCGCGCAATGCATGTACGGGGAGCGCTACTGTAACATTTGGAAACGCCAGCTTGACATACTTAGCGTAATGCACGAACCTCATGAGCTGGATGCATTCCTTTTTCCACACACGCCTTCGCACATGTGGTCTGTCATCACACGCTGTCGCTACACCTACGCGCTGGCTCTGGTGGCCTCTAGCTCCGCTGCTGCGGTGCCGCTCGCCCAACGGTCTGGGAGCGGACCCGTGAGTCCGACCGCAGGCAAGAGGCGCGCGAGCAAGCGCTCTACCACGTTGACACTCATAGCGTTGCCGAGTTGCTTACGCCATTGGGCATCCGACACCACCTGCTTGAAGTGGTCTGGGTTCATGCCCACGCTTTCAAGCCAAACGCTGGCACATATTACATTGACTGCTAGAATGCCTTCAGAGGTCGCGGATCACTGCAGCAGTGCGTGCCTTATCCAGAGTGCGTCTACGCATAGCTTGAGCGCGTGAGGCTGCCTTGCAAGGAAGTCGCGGCGCTTGCTCTGCCGCCACTCCCTGGGGGATGTTCGCTAAGGTTCGGCCAGACACCTATAATGAGTGGCTTCGGCGTGTCAGAAGTGGCCGTTGTGATTTCGGTCTGTCAAATGTCCGCCTATGCCGCCTATGGAGCGGTTTCCGTCTGTGGGCGTGGCCAGATACCCATGCGTTAGAAATGGCCATTCCTACGTCCGTCTATGTCTCTATGGTTAACCTATGGAAGCTCCCTGTTTGGCAGAGCCCCCAAGACACCATAAATTTCTTCCTTGGGCCAGCTCGACACATCATGGATTTTGCGCGCAATGCATGTACGGGGAGCGCTACTGTAACAGTTGGAAACGCCAGTCTCACATACTTAGCGTAATGCACGAACCTCATGAGCTGGATGCATTTTTTCCACGCACGCCTTCGCACATGTGGTCTGTCTTGACTCTCTGTCGCTACACCTACGCTCTGGCTTTGGTGGTTTCTAGCTCCGCCAATGCGGCGCCGCTCGCCCAACGGTCCGGAAGCGGACCCGTCAGCCCCACCGCAGGCAAGAGGCGCGCGAGCAAGCGCTCTACCACGTTGACACTCATAGCGTTGCCGAGTTGCTTACGCCATTGGGCATCCGACACCACCTGCTTGAAGTGGTCTGGGTTCATGCCTTGCAATCGACAGTGCTCGCGTGCATTGAGGAGCCGACCTCTGTTGGAGATCCAGATCTTGCTGCGGGTGAGCAAACAGGGGCACGCGTCCATCTTCACGACGCAACGTCCTTCGCTGGTGGTGACTGGAAAGAGCTATGCTTGCTGCAAGGGTTCGTGCTTCTCGCGCAAAAGCTTCGCCATCGTCGCAGCCCATATCTGGGAAGCGAAAGTCTGAGAAGGCGCCTGCACGTTGAGCAGGTTCGGCTTCGTCTCCCATAGATCCAAGAACCGCTCCACCGACGGGCAGGCAATGGGCGCCGGCCATTGGAACCTACCCTCGATGTATAAGTCCTTGCGGATGCAGACAATGTAGAGCCTGTTTCGGCTTTGCGGCACCCCGTGATCGGCGGTGTTCAGGACCCTCCACTGGATGTTATAGCAATCCAATCGCAGCAGCTGGTGTAGAACCTCGCAAATGTCTTCGCCGTCGCGGTTGTGAAGCAAACTTCGCACGTTCTCCAGAACCGCGACACGAGGCTTGTGTTCTCATGTGATCCACGATGCCGTAAAACACCTGGCCGCGTGGGTCCTCGAAGCCTCTCTTCTTGCCCTCCGAGCTGTGCGGCTGGCAGGGAAACCCTGCCATGTACAGGTCACAGCCGGGCGCCTGCGAGTGGTCGCGCTTGGTGATGTCCCCATCGACTTCGCCCCTGTAAAATTTGACAGGGTGGAAAGTGGCTTCGATGGTCTGGCAGGCGAACTCGTCAAGGTCGCTCGCGAAGGCCTCTGTGAAGTCCACGCGCAAGTTCCGCAACGCTTGGCAAGGCGCATTCGCGCCTGCGCAATCATGTCCCACGCGGAGAGGACGCCGGGGAGGCTCGGGCGCCACAGCATCAGAATGGTAGAAGAGCTCTGCGGCGCCACCTATATTGCGAAAGAGCACGATGGAGTACCTGACGGAACTCTCCGGTTGATGCGGCTTCACCCAGTGCACGTGCCGGCCGTCTACCTTCTGCCATTGATCTTTCGTGGACACGCTGAAGCATTGGTCCCTCTCCTGCCAGCAGAACTCGCCTGCTGTGAATTCGCCCAGGGACAGACACCATTGGTGGTCCTTGTCCGTGCGGCGGTGGTGGTGGGGGTGCATCGGCTGAAAATTCTTGTTGAGTTGCGCGCTGCTGAATTCGAAGCCGAGCGCCCGACCTTCGTCCTGAAGCAATTCCCACAGTTTGGCACACTGCACTTGATCTTCTTGTGACAAGCATCCAAGCACAACTTGGTCATTGTAGCCTTCCTTGTTGAAGCCATCGGCGCCTGGGGCACCGCGTGTGACGCCCAGCGTAATGCTTCCTGAACCAAATGTCTTGGTCTTGATGTTCCCTCGCACCCAACTCAACTTCTCGAGGCAATCCCAGATCTCGCGGCGGTTCTTCGCAGGCTTGCCGAGCAGCTGCACTGGCGTGGGCACAGACAGCCCAGCACTGCCACCGGTCTGGGCGCCTTTGGCCAGCTTCCTCCTCTTGCTCGCCCGTGTCTCCACAGTCGCTCCCTCAAACTCGAATCGGGCCAACTCCTTCGCTTTCGTTTCTTCCAATGGCGCCTTCCGAGCTTTGTCCTTCTTTCTGTTTCGCCTGGCTTGCCTATCTCCCGGACGATCATCATAAGTCATAGTGCACTCCAGGGATTCGCTGTTGAGCGCGCCGCATTTCACAACGAAGTCTTTCACGATTTGCGAGGACCTCTCCGCGAGGATGCGAGCCGAGGTCACGTGCTCCTTTTTGAGGAAGAACCCGCGCTCGGGCTCTTTCCCTTGATGCTTTTCGTACGCACTCTTGACGACATCGTGGAGAATCGCGCCGAAGTTGGTCTTTATTTCGAACCGCTTGGCGTTCTTGCCTGCGAAGCCTCTGCCCTGGTTGGGCGGTTTGATGATAAGTGTGAACTCGCGCTGCATCTCATCCTCCATTTCTCGTTTCACGCGTCGGCGTTCCGCTGCCCTCTTCTCAGTCTCGCCGTCACCCGCCCGGAATGATGGCCACTACAGATTGCAAGTGCAAAAGAAGCTTGGAGCCAACAAGTTCACAGAAGAATGTCACTGAGCAACGGCTGCGTGGCGACCGTGTGCGAGTGATTTGGAGCAAGCGGGAGGAGACGGGCGCATGTATGCGCAAGCCAAGTCACGCGTGAAGCTACGGAGCGGTGCACACAAGATGCAAATGCACGCATGGAGTCCACAAGGCGTCAGGGGGGGGGGAGCCTGCGATGAGCAGACGAGCGCTTGCTTGCTTTTTTTGGGGGCGCACGAAATATTCATCTCTCACATGGCAAGCCTCTCGGAACAAATGCGTGGGCCACTCACTCGCAGGCGGCAGCAGGTCGCGCAAGGTTGGGCGCCACTGCCAACCATAGCTCCTTGTAGCCCGGGAAGGGGTCGCCTCGAGCCGTCCTTCCCTCCGGCAAACACATCTTCCGCCACTCGCGCAGCATGTGCTCGAGGCATTGGGCGCATGTGGGCAGCAAGTGGAGGCGGGCTAGGCGCTCGACTACCCCGTGCTGGTCCACCGCAGCCAATGCAGCGGGAAGGGCCTCCAGCAAGGCCAGGAAGAGCTTGTCCACGCCAGCTTTGAAGGGAGATGTGCCAACTATGGCGCGTGCCTCCTCAGTTGTGATACCAAGCAGCAGCCAGAGGCCCAGTTCGGCAAAGTCCCCGATGTCACGTCGCTCCATGTCGTAGAGCGCAGGGTTGCCAATGGAGAGGAGCTGTGCCACGAGCAGTGCCCGGAACTTGGGGAGTCTTCTTGCAGAACCGCGACAGCATCGACGCCGTCCTGGAGGCGAGCCAGCGCTGCTGGGATCTTGCCAGCCAGTTCATGAATGAAGCGGCCGCAGCTCTCGATCTCTGGGCCATTGCCGAGGAGGCTGACTACGCCCAGCGTGAGGTGCGACGGGACCACGCCTCTATTGTTCGGGAACCGATCGCGGAAGCGGCAGGCAAACTCCTCGGGCAACTGCGGCGCTTCTACACTGAAGGGACCAAGCGCCTCGAGGCGACGCCAACTGGGGAGCACTGTCTGGCCAATGATGAGATTGTACAACGCATCCAGCGGCTTGCCGTCAGGCGGCCCAGATGCGCCAGCGGGAAGCTGCGAGGCGTCGAACGAGGAAG